TTATCCAAATCATTTTCCATATGTCTCATGCGCGTATTTTATCGAATTTTACCTTTCAAGATAAAATCTTTTGAATGAGAGATGTTATAGAAAATTGCAGTCAATACATATCGGAATTTTTGATAAAAGAATACTTGACCGTTTTTATAAGATCATCCGACTACAAAAAAATGCATATAAATAAATACAAAATTTTCTATTAAAGCTAGTCGAAAGAAAACATCAAATTCCCTGTTACATCGAATTGATATTCGATAATTCATATTTTTGTGCAAAAACTTTAATATAAATTGAAAAAAATGATGCGATATAATTGTTAACGTTTCACGTCACAACAGCCAATAAAACAGCAATTTCGTGTTTGTTGAAGTTAATCATGCTTGTAAATAACGGGCAAAATTAAATTATCTGTAAAAGAAATAATTATTTGCAATATTTAAAATTTAATATTCTAGCGTATCAAAAAAGGTCTCAAATTATTTTTTATATTTGCACTATCGTTTTATATTACTTCTATTACTACTCAAAAATAATAATTTTAATAGTAATAAGTACTTGATATGTAGTTGGGATAAAAAAATCTTGAAAATCTAAATCAAAAGTTCACTTTAATAGAAATTTTGAAAGAAATAACAATCGTGTGAATTGAAATAAAGCTAGAAATTTTTTTAAAATCATTTATACATTTATGTAAAAATCTAATTATTTTACTTTTGATGCCTTATAACTTTGAGTTACCAGTATTTCAATACACAACTTGAGAAATGTCAAATCTAAAAGTATTTAATCAGAATTCCTGAAACACTCCATATATGCATAGTAGTTTTATGCACCAGTATTCGTCGACTTGTATAACGACATTAATTTTCGCGTGCATGGCCCATTATTTCCACTTTCATTTCCGACTATGAAATGTGCGCATATTACATTGTTCATAGGGCGAGTCTAAAGTTGTACAAAGAACTTTGTTGTCATATTTTCGATTAAAAAATAACAAAAAATGTTTGTATCAAAATGCAGTTAAACATTCCCGATTTATTTAGGATATTTGAAGAGTAGATATAAATATGTATGTAAGAGTAGATATAAATATATTTAATTCTCGTATAAATTATACATATATATTATACTGTTTATTTGTCATTCATATATTAATAATATTTATTGATGCATTTTGATTATTATGAGAAAAATATATAATATAAAAACATTATTTTAATTTTAAGTAACGGTTTTGAGTGTAACATTCTGCTTTCCATTTTTCATTTTTTGTGCATCTTAGAATAAAAGTAATTGGCAGAATTAGATGATAGAAAGAGTTTAAAGAGTAATCCATTTTTATTTAATAAGCGTTTTTTACGATCCTTTCTCTTAAATTTCTTCTGCTTCTTTAACTTCAAAGCTTCGTATACCAATGTGAAGTAAAATGGAATTTGCGACACTATAAAAGTAACATCTTCATTTGTAGTCGCTTAGAGGATTTTAATTCCTCTAGAGGATTTTAAATCCTCTAGAGGATTTAATCCTCCTAAAAAAAGATGGTTTGCATGTGTATATAATAACATTGTAATTTGTAGAACATTTTAATATTTTAGTTGCGAGACTCTCGAGCCTTTGTATTATTAAATAGATAATTATGCTTCCATAATAGTAACCCGTTTCCATTCTTTGTAAAATTAAAAAATGTAATATTACCATATAATAATTATTATGATAATAACTTACTTTTGATGTGTTACGATAATATATTATGAGAATAACATTCTATTTTATTTACTCTTTAAATTTCTGAAACGAAATCTTACTCCAAAATAGTTAAGATATTGCCACTTTAAGTTAAGATAAAAAGAGTAAAAAATTTGTACTCTTGAATAAGAGTGGCAGATCTCTATTCTTTTTTTTTGGAATGAGATTCATTTCAAAGAAAAATAATATCATCCCTTTTTTTAATCTTACTTAAAAAAGCGTAAAAATCTGCCACTCTTATTCAAGAGTGCAAATTTTTCATTCTTTTTCAATACTGACTTTATTTTTAATATTTTAATTCTTTTAAAGTGAAATTTTATTCTAAAATTTTTTATTCTAAAATTTTTTATTCTAAAAAATTTAGAAAGTAGATATTATTTTCTAACTATTTCATAATGAAATGAGTACAAATTATGTTCATAACATTTATCGATATTTATGACGCGGATTATAGTTGCAGCTAATTTGCAATAGCATCACATTGCTTTCTTTTTTTTCTACTTTTTTGTAACAATAGATTTTTGGAAAGATGAACAAAAAAAATTGTATCAAAGACGCAATCTCTCTCGATTATTAGATTAACAAAGTCGGTGTTGCGTTTATTCGTTTGCGGACAAGCATTAAAAAATAACGCTGAAAAATCAGTCGCTGCATACCATCCGCAATGGCACATATTGTTTATTGGATGCGCGAGAAAATCTCTTTCGATGCTTTCTGCTGTATAGAGTTTTGGATATTGCGTCGGGATATAGCCGATTTCGCGACTTTGATCCGACTGGTTGCGAATTGCATGAAAGGATTTTTTATGGACGTGTATGGTGCATGAATAGTACATCATTTTCGTGTGAACGAATGCAATTCGCGCTCTCAAATTAAAGATATTGTATAAAGGGGATAAATTGTTTCGGCTACATACATTTCGATTTTTATCTTTTGCTTCGCGACTAAATCGTATGACTTTATCATCAATTTCATTGATAAGGTCATACGATTTAGTTAATAGAGGTAAAAGAAATCGACAAAGGTGCATATAAGATATGACGAGATTTAGAAATTTTGCTAAAAATATATTTATCAAAGAGATATCAAAATTAAATATAGAGACATTAAATTTAAGTATTTAAAATTAAGCATTACATTAAATTAAATATGTAGAAAGAATTGTCTCAAGCTCGTTCTGCCTTCCGTGCGTACATCATATTTTCGACGCGAAATGAGCGGAATACACACGCTATAAAACGTTGTCGTGAATATGGAATATTCGCAATGTCCGCGTAGACGCAGCTTTAAACGCGTCGATTTACTGTAGAGGTTTTATCGCTGTCATATACAATCGGTCGGCGCCACCGTTTTATCGTCGCTAAAAGACGCGTTTGCGCGATCGGACGTCGAGCGTTCATTTTGATTCGGCCATGCCGTAAATCATCGGCGTGAGTGTCGATTCTCGAAAATTAACGCGATCGCTGCTTCCCCTTCCTCCGAAATATAAAATTGTGTAAAAATACCAAAAGAAAAGAAGACAAAGAGAAAAAATTACACTGTTCTCGATTTTCAGAAACAATAGAAACAATAATTTTTGCTATAACTATATATAAGCTATACATAATTTTTTTCAATACAAAATGAAAATTACGGATCTGATTGCGTAATTGTAATACTAATAGGTAGGCGAATTAAAGAATAAATTACAAAGTTATCTAAATTTATTGCGTAGATTAATTTTTCGCAAAAAATTACCTTTTACTTTAAAACCTATGCACTAGATTTTTAAAAGTTTTCATTTTTATTAAAATGTACATATATTGTACGTATTGTACAGTAGCCATTGTTTTAACGCAAGATCGCGATAAGAAGAATTGCCATTACGAGATTTTTCGAGATTATCTGAGAGACGGGATCTCGATAATAAAGTCTACGTCTCGTGCATCACGGAATTAGTCATTTCGCATGCGAGAGATTTGACATGTAGTTTTCCTGAAAAATCATGCTGAATACATATCCTCGCGTTTCCCTTTTGTTACTTTCCCTATTTCGCGCATATTTGTGCACGTGTAGAAAAAAGAGCAGCTGAACAAGCTTTTTTTCGTGGCGATTTCGCGCGGTTACAAGGCATGCACGGATTCGTCCCTGGTATCGTACATCAATTCGACAGTTTTTTTAGCACTGGACTAAAATTTGTTGGTACATACTTTTTGCTTCTTTTGCGAATGATAAATGGCCGAAATAGAGACCAAATTAAAACGAGGAAATATCAACAAAAGTCGTTACTCGATAAACCGATCGCGAATAGTCATCAGTAGGTTGTCAGATTATTACATTGATAGGAAGATTCTCTTTGAGAAAGAAATCTCTTTAAAAGAAAAAGATGAATATAAAAAGCTGAATTCGATTTGCAACGAGAGAAATTAACGCAAACAGATATAATTAAACAATTTGTCTTAACGAACGACATTGTTGCTTACGATTAGTCTTCGTGACCGATTACGCTTCGTGTGAATATGATCTTTCTAATTTCGTGGAAAATCATTTCCGCTTTATGGAGACGCGGATGAAATTTTATGGTCTTTCCTTTTCTTTTTTAAAGACTTTTACTTACACAGTTTATAGAACACTACATTTCGTCACCTTATAAAACATGAAAATGTCCGAGTAGATTCTACGAGATTGTTTACGTCTCCCACGAGATAAACCTGAAACTTTCAGTAGCATGCGGTCAAACTCTCACGGATATGTCTGTTGAAACAACGTCCAGTTGAATTACTTGGAAGACAATTGATACTTTATGAATATCATTGCGATAGTAAAGTTTTCGTAGCTATCCGAGAACAAGCTTAATCCGCACTAATAAATAATGCGGATCACTGTGCAGAAATAATTTTAAAATATATCGAGATATTAGTTTTCTGTTTAAATATACAAATAAATTAGCCTTAGAACATAACAATATTTTAAATGAACAGAATCCATATATTAAGAGATTCTTGTTTTAACCATGAATTCAAACGTTCGGTATATTCTTTCTTTTTCTTTGGAATAAATATTTTAATCACGTGTGTTTGCGTAATTAATAATTCGAACAATATGATATTATATCGTATGGGTTTCTATCAGAACACCGCGGGCAATAAATTAATAATAAATGAATCAACTTGCGGATAGTTGTAGAATGGTATAAAGCAAGAAACAGAACCGAAGTGAAGCAACGAAGCTTGTCGATAAACTCACTTGCCATATTCTCGTATTTAACTGTGCAGGTTACGGCAACATTTGTCCCAAGACGAAACAGGGCAAAATCGCGACTATCATATACGCAATAATAGGGATGCCGCTTTTCCTTCTCTACCTCAGCAATATCGGTGACATTCTGGCCAGAAGCTTCAAGTGGACCTACGCCCGCTGTTGCTTGTGCAAGTAAGACCGTTCTACTCGTCACAAAAATCACATTCCTATTGAACTTTTCTGTATCATATGTTACATTCCTATTCATCTTTTCAGTATCTATCTTTTTCAATATCTATCTTTTTCAATATCTATCTTTTTCAATAGCGTAAAATCAGATTTTAAATCGTCATCGTCGAATTAATCTCGATTGATTTTTCAAGATGCCGGAGAAGACCATACGATGCGGCAAGTGCAAGAGCGTCGGAGATATTGAATGATCCAGCTGCGAAAAGAGATCGGTGGCAGCAAGTAAGCGACACCGTTGCAACAGAATTACAATTCGATTCCATTATAACGAAGTAGCATCGTGATGCAAGAGGGAATAAGACTTTCATACAGAATTTCTCAGAATTATTTCTATTATACATTCAAAAATCTTTCTAAAACTAATCGAGATAAAATTTTTTCAATATCAAAGACATCGATGCTTTATTATTACAAATGAATTCTGGTATGTTCGGGATATCAAGTAGGGGATATTTAAAGAAAATTTGTCTGTAGATTGTAAGCACGTATGGCGAGGAGGTAGATACGTCAAGCTTGAATGTAGAAGAAACTTTACCTAGATACGACGACAACGGAGAAGTTAACGGAAGTGACGGCGATGACGAAGACGATGACGACGAGAGTGACAGCTACGATCCTCAGCATGTCACGGTGCCGTTAACTCTCTGTCTTGCTATTATGGTGGGGTGAGTATCTGACGAGCGAGATAATAAGGAGAAATAGGGTTAATTAAAGGATTCACTTTTAAAGAACATATAACAGATAAATGAATTAACAAAAAATGATAAAAATTCTCTTGATAGGAAGAGTTTTTTAGATACTTAAAGTTTTTTAATAAAGTAATAACTCGAAAGATGGTGTAACAATACTTTTTAAAAATTAATATGAAATAAATATTTTTATGATTCTCTGATATTATTTAATTTGAAAAGTTACAAGTGTCTATAATCTTCGAAATTAAAAATTAATTTCGAGATTGCCAAATTCTTTTCTATTCAAATCAAAATTCTATTAAGGTAAAATTACAGAGTATAATTTTCGGACGCGATATACTTGGAGTATATATATTGATATTTATTTTCAGTTCGATCAGTTTGCAAGTCTAACATTGCATTAAACTTGATGTCACTTTCTTTCAAAAATTTAAAAGAACCTCTAGAAAAATTGTCTGGAATTGACAGCACTTTCCTTTACTTTTTGCCCGATAGGTATATTTGGGGTGGCGCATTTCTGTTTTCGACATGGGAATCTTGGGATATGCTGGATAGTTCTTATTTTTGCTTCGTTTCTTTATCGACCATAGGTTTCGGCGATATTGTTCCTGGTGAGAAAATTTATTCCGAACATGCCTTCGATTTGTCTTTTATCCTGTGTTCAATGTACCTAATGCTTGGTAAGTTTTACACATACATATACGATAATTTACATCTCTTATTATTTGTATATAAAAATTTATTTTAGAGCTTCCTTCAAGAAAATCCTCTTTACTGCTAATAATTAAATGTTCTCTTATAAATAAGACGATATTTATTATTAATATTATTATCATATTACAGAAGGAATATAAAATCATTTGATTTAATCGTATATTTTAGTCGCTAGTAAAATTAGAATAAAAAACAGATCATTTCATTTTTTAAAAAATATAATTGTCTCCGATTGTCACAGAATTTTTGACGTTCAACGTTACGATGCAAAGACAATCGTTTTGAAAGGGATCAACCGCTTTAAATCCTGCAACGCGATTTCATTCGTTGCAATACAGCTTTCCATGCTGCGAGCGCATTAAGTTCGTTTCAATCAATATCCGATTGCCGGGCAGATTTTTCGTGGAAAATATTCAAGTGCTTTTAAACCGAATGTTTCGACCGCTTTCATACGCGCGAACAGTGCTCTCAATTTACGCAACAATTGGCGCAATAATATCCGCGATGCTTGAAATCTCGCTCTAATCTAATATTTGATATAAACTTTATAGAGACATTGAATCACTCGTAAAGTATTTTTTGTATTTTAAGGAATGGCACTGATCGCTATGTGTTTTAATCTTATGCAAGAAGAGGTGATCGCGAAGATACGCAACCTAGTGCGCATCGTCAAGTACATCTTCAGATGTGAAAGATGAACGAGTTTTCATCGTGATTCTGCACCACTATTTTAATTGGTGAGTTAATAAATATTTCCGTTCTCAATCATTCAATAATCTAATTTTATGATGGTTTATAATAATGATTTTTATAGGATGATTTTTTTAATCTTCATAAGAAAGATTTAATTTAATTTTCCTAAAATTCTTCCTGTTACTTTTAATGCTAAGAAATAGGTACACATTTTTACGAGACATTTTTCACTGAAAATCATTCCTTATAAAAAAAAGATTGCTTGTGCTAGATGCGATCCGTATGAGCAAAGAGCAATCATTTGTATCATGTAGCTATATCTTTGATGTTCTCTTGCTCTTTTTGAATTCTTTTTCAAATCTTTCACGAAACGTAGGGGCGTAAGTGAACGAACGATTGAGTAGAAGTATTGCATTACAGTAAGAGCAACAAGACAAAAATCATAAACGATAAATTCTATACAACTATTCCGTGTCGCAAGGGAAACGCGGGTGATCTATTTGCTCTCCTTCGAGAGACTCCAAGGTTTTCTTTTAAAAGTTAAAAGTTTTATGAAGAAAAAATTAACGTTGTATCATTTCATCGGTTAAGTAATTGTTCAAAGTATCACATTGTAAGTATCAAAAATCAGTTTTACACTCTTCGAAACAATACAATTATATGAAATCTTTTTTTTCGATAAACATTTTACCGTTTCTAAAATTGCATGTTGGAATTTTTCGTTATCCGATTATCGGATCATTTAACGAAGCGAGCATTCTATCGGCGAGAATAGAGAGAGAGAGAGAGAGAGAGAGAGAGAGAGAGAGAGAGAGAGATCAAACGTTATCGTGCAAAATAGATATATCGATATATATATATATATATATAAACCCCCCCCCCCCACACACACACACAAGCATACAACAAAAAGACACACGCACATGCAATGTGGAACGCGATATCTGAAGATATCCGCGACGATTTAGAAGCTATCGAGCGTTTGCAAAAGTGGCTTGTATTTATAATTGTATGAAAAATATCAAGTAGATATCTCTTATCGAGATAGGATATAAATATTAATTGATTTGAAACATTCTCATTTCATATTAATGTTCACTTTCAATAAGATGAAAGTGGACATTGTCGACTAAAAAAATATTTCAACCATTTTGTATATTACAAGTACATAATGCAGGGGTCGTCATATAAACGGACCTAGTACAAAAAATGGTTGACCCGTTTATCAACTATTGATTTCTTTGCGTTTTATATCAACTATAAGCTTACGATTCTTGTAAACATTTTAAATCATAACAATATTAGAGAAAATAAAATACAATGAGTATAATTAATGACTTGTAACAAAAACTCAATTGCAAACTTAATTATAACTTATTTTATATTTACATACTTTGCTATATATTACAATATGAATGATTTTTACGATATACATATATTCAAAAAAGAGAGTAACCTAAACAGAGCGTTAATGTAAATCTCTTTGAAAAATAAGAATTTCGCCAAAAATGCTACTAGTTTATTTTATCTATATCTCATATCTATGATATATCACAGTGCATGATCGCGTACTTGAAGAGAGGAAATTGATGCGCTTTTGACGGTCATCGTTTCGCCCGAGCTTCAAATTGCGTAACAAAAAGATTCGCGAATAAGAAAAATGATAGGAAAGGAAAAACTTTAACCAAGTTTCTTCAATCACGCGAAACCAATATGAATTCTCGTCATTATTAATGTAATCTCGGAAAATAAAAAAAGTGTATCACAGTGCGTGTAATAGAGGCGAAGAAAGCATTTATAAAGACGAAAGAGAGAGGAAAGATAAAGAAGCCTAGGGTGGCATGGCAGTAAAGAAGGAAAGAGGAAAAAAAAATTAGAAGGAGAGAGAGAGAGAGAGGGGGGGGAGAGGGAGAGAGAGGGGGGAGAGAGGGAGAGAGAGGGGGGGAGAGAGAGATCAAGTCGCGATGGAACGGGGCTGCGACTACGCGCTTTCGCATGCAGCGTTCTTGTTGTACATTTACCGCACATGCGCCACAGCCACCCCCGGAGACATTGGAGAGCGATCCTGCGCCCTGCCGCCACTACGGGGGTGCGTCCGTACGTAAAAGCCGGCGTACGTTCCTCGTTCACTGTCGTCATTCGGCTCGACCTGCTCGTATTTCGCTCAACATTTATCTCGCATTTCACGACCTCGTCTCGCTTTGTTTATTCGATCGAAGCTCAAACGCCTCAAGTATCGCGGCCGCGAGATCTCGATCTAAACTAAAGAATCTCATCGATCTCGTCGTCACCGAGCGTCGAATCGCGCTCTATCGTCGTTTACCACCGACAGTTCGGTTTCGGTGTCGGCTCGATATCCACCAGCTCCAAGTTTGAACATATCTCAGTGTTGAGATATGAGGCTTGTTTTAAACGTGAAAAGTTACGGATAGTTTTATCGAAACATTTGTTGGATTTTACTGCAGAGTGTATCTGTGGTTAGAAGAAGGATTCTCTCTCGAGGGAATAGACAGCCACGAATGAGGACACTCGTCTATGTTCATAGAGTCAAGTTCGATAGAGCCCGCGTATACGATCGAGATGACATTTAGTATGATATTAATAACGAGAAAGTGTGCATTCTACGATCGACTACGACTACGATTATCAATAAAGCCTCTTTAATTGAAAAACATAGTAGAGGTTTTATAGTATGTGACATGCGGCTTTGTTCTTTACTGACGAATTTCTCGTAACGATATAATGACTCTTTCGCAATGGCATTATATTCTTCTTACTTTATATTGGAATATTGGAATAGCTGTCACTTATAATTCTTGGAAAATAAGACGAAATGGAACTTAAATTTGGAACAGAGTGAGTAATGTGACACATTTAATCTACTAAATAGAAACTTTCCATACTACTCGGGCAACAGAGATAAATTTAAAGATAATTAAATTATAATCTTTAAAATCGTTTATCGATTGCATATAATAGCTCGCCGAATTATGATAGAATAATTAGCGATTAATGAAATTGATAAGAAAAGATATGCGTTCTGTAAATGATTCTTTTGTTTTCCAACAGTGTTTTTAAATTTTTTAAATTAAACAAATTTTTTTTTTAACTGAAGAATTCCTTAATTGACAAATTACTTGCATGATTTATTTTATTTGTGATTTATTAAATTCTTATATTCCGTTCGCTCAAAATTAATCATCTCCGTATATGTCCAATGGTCGAGCGTTCATTTTTCATAAGGGACGCTTTGGAACAACCCCTCAGGGTAAAGAGCGGACGTGATTCGATGTGGTCATCGTGTTTCAATTCAAGAGTTCTTCCAATGATGCCCGTCACCGCGATAGATTGAGAACGGATGCGGACCATTAAGTAAATCGCGAATGCCAATCAGTGCGGAATAATCAGCGATGCCGTCGTGATCAATTTATCACGATGATTTTTCATAACTTGAAATTTTTTTAAAACATGATTTTGATAAAACAGTAACAAAGAAATGAGATGATAAATAAATAATATCGAATAAATTTGTAGTGTGTATTTCAAAACGAAAGAAGCATGTATTTGATATTGTTCCATTTCGGAAGCAGTCCAACTGCGAATCGTTTTCTTCGAATCTTATCTGTTAATATATCGAACATAATAACCAATATATAAGTTGATTATAGTCAATCTTTATGAATAGTAAGTAATATATGGGTCAATCATAGTCAGACCGTATCGGATGCCAGTGATACGAGTGCTCCAGACATTATATTGTAGGCGTGTCGATCATAATGTGACATTATTTGTGATAAGTGATATTGTAGACAAACTAGAAACTGCTTGTCTCTTCTCTCACTATTAAACAAAATTAATGCGAGACGCATAGTGTAACGCGCAGAGCGACATTGATCTATCATAAATAATATTATATATACACGAAACGATGGTGTAAAAATATTATGGCAACGGATCGACGGAACGTTGATTTCTTATTATTATAAACAAATAAACAGGATCGTTTAAAATAATCGGCACTTCTCTAGGAGCGATTTCATGAAACTCCGCGTGAACATTGTGCGAACAGGTTTTTTTTCTATTTTAGCGGTGCGATGTTATGTTCCGCAAATCGCCGTGGGAATTCGAGAATCGTCGTCGAAAACGCGAAAAGCAAGAGTAAGGAGCGATCATTGTTAAGCTGAATGGTAAGTTGTAATAATCAAATTTTTTGAACATATTTTGCAAAGCGATCAGCGCAGCGCATTAAAAGAATCGCAATGCATTCGTTTACAATTAATAGTTTTAATACTTTGTCCCATTCGCGCGAATACGATCGTCATAGATAGAGGAAAGTATAAGTCATAGATAGAGGAAAGTAAGTTTGCTCTCTTATTGTGATTTACATTGTGATTTGGATTTGATTAATTTGAATCCTATAATAAAATTTGTATTTGTTAAAAAAGAGATGATCGAAAACAAAATATAGAGTATCGAGAAATTTTTATACGTCCCTTTATTTCAAGCTTTGAATTGCAGTTCTCATAATATTAATGATGTTGTGATAATTTTAAAATTTTTAAAGTTGTTAAATGTAGAAAAAGTATATAATCATATCTTATATTTTATTTTAAAGAAATTGTAGTTGGAAATTTAATCAATATGTTATGTAATGTTGCAAAGTAAAATAATGAAATAATTATTTTCCCCAGTTCCTAAATGTTAAAACAGTTGCTTTTTTTATTATTATTGGTATTATTTTATCATTGATATTATTTTTTTATATAGAAATTAATAATATAATGCAATAAATTGCACTTGTATTGTTTTAATCATTGTTGATAAGTTATTGTTAATATCTGATAAAATAACTGTGTGCTTTAT